TCACAGCAAATGCATGCATCATCGTACTTAACATTTACATGTTCTGTTACAAACCCTGAAGTGTGTGTAAGGTGGGGTTCGGGGGAGAGAAATGGGTTTTGGCCAGTAAAATGCCTGTTTGAATTCCTTATTTAAAAAACGTTATTACAAAAGTGAAGTGGGTATGTCGAAGTTTTTCAAGAACTAGCAATTCTTTGGCAACTTAGAAGACTTAATGCTTTGGAACATGACTTTTCATAAGTGTCTGATGGCACCTTCAATACTAGCTACTTTATTCATGGACTACAGTCCACTTCAACATGGGGGGAGTAGCAGTAAATAGTTTGGTTAGGAAATGCAGAAAAGTACAGATTGTGATAATTACATTGCTAATCATGCCCATTCACAAAAGCAACAGTTGTTGATAACACAAATAGCCTGGCATTGGTAAGCCAACTAACACACATAATACCCATTGAGTGTTTTCATTTAACCAAGGCCCTTAAGCCAGCTCTGTTGGGAACTTTACATTTCTAATAGAAAACTAAACAATCTCTATGAAGAACAAGCTGCACAACCCATTGATACTTAGAAAAACTTTCCAGGAGATGTTTTCAGTAATACTACTTCTTATCTCTCTTTCCCTCCCTCCCTCCCTCTCTCTCTCTCTCTCTCTCTCTCACTCACACACACAGAGGGAGAGAGAGAGAGAATTATCCAGTCATATTCATTGCATCAGATAAAGAAAATCTAGATCAATAAAGCAAATGATTTTAAAGACTATGGTTTGTGTCCAGTGCTTGTCTGACTCAGAACAGACCATTAGAATTAAGGAACCTTCATTAGGATTGTGCCTATTAACTTCAGTGGATCTCCTCTGCATAGGCCTAGCATTGCTACAACTTTAATTTATTACTGTATCTGTATAGTAACAGAAAGCTCTAGATCAAGCTATTTGCATTTACATGGAGAAATGCTGCAATTCATTTTCCCCCCATTTAGTGATCTACTCTGTTCCTTCTGCTGTGTTCACTTGATTTTAATTTTTATTACCAAGATAATTTGCATGAAAACAACATCTGTGTTTGTGCTATGCTGCTGCTGCTGCTGCTGTTGCTGTTGCTGTGGCTGCCTCCCTGTTGGAAATCACCAGCCGCAGTATTGGGACAACCTATTGGGCCTTCTCTCCAGTCATTCACATGAGCTTGTTTAATGCCAGTGTCCTCCTCCCTTTTCAGCCTTCTGTTTTTATCCTGTCTTTTCGTTTCTTTCTCTCCATAAGAAGCTGCCTTACACCATGTCAGGAGGTCTTTCCCGTCTCCTTTTAAGCCAGGGGTTGCCAATCTTTTGGAACCAGTGAGCACACTGCAGTTTTTGAGAGAGTCCTGGGAGCGCCAGAAAATGGCTGCCAGAAGGGGCGGGGCATAGTCCAAAATGGCTGCTGTGGAGCGTAGTGTAACATAACATTAGAGAAAACTACCCCGGTTATACTTGCCATAGGAAATCTGCTATGTACTATACAATACTGATTACAACACACACACACACACATACACACACACACAGTCCAGTAACAACAGCGAGCAGCCCTCAGTATCAGGAAAAATACACAGGGTGGCTATATAACACTTGGCTCTCATTTCACATAAATAACTTAGAAGGTAGCTGCATAATTTGCCCCATAGCCTTCTTTCTATGAGGCTAAAGACTTGCTACTTTTCTTAAATGAAAGCTCAGAGGAACCTTCCCAGGGTACCAATGAAAGCCTTTGCAGGTGCTATCTAAAGGATCATATCTTCCCATATGACCCTACCCAAGTTATGAGATCTTCAGGGAAGGCATTTCTTTTGTTCCACATCCTTCACAGGCACATTTGGAGAGGACATGAGAGGTCCTTCTCAGTGTCTGCTCCCAGACTGTGGAACTCCCTTCCTCAGGACGCTAGCCTGACCCTCTCTCTGCTTTCCTTTCATTGGCAGGCAAATAAATGCTTTGTTGTTTGGTCAGGCCCATGGCATGACTGTCGCTGCAGGATCTTTTAATAGTGGGTGTTGTGTATTTTTTTCTCTTGTTGTGCTTTTAAATCATTTAAAGCTGTTTTGATTCATTGCGGTTTTTAATATGGGAACTTATTTTTTAAAAAAATTTAAAAAACAACAACATTTGTAACTGATTGGGGTTTTTCTTAGATGTATATGTTTTGAATTTACATTGTGAGCTGCCTTGGGTCCTGCATTGGGAGAAAGGCAATTAAATTAAATAAAACAAAGAAGCAAACTAGTATATAATTGATATAAATGCACAGTGTGAAAGTAATCTTTGTCATCATAAGCCATTATGGTACACTGATGATGATTTAAAGTATTTATACCCTGCTTTTTAGCCAGAAAGGCTCCCAGGGAGGTTTACAGATTAATGAGAGCAACACAGTCGGTGTTCTCTGATGCCTAAAATCTAAAAAGACACAACACAAAAGGAAAGGAGGGTGGGGAGAGAAGAAGAAACAAACTCTGCTATCAAATTCTTAAGGTGATAAGATTGTTAGAATAACCTGCTTGAATGGGAGCCGGCTGCTCAAGTTTGAAAACGGGCCTTGGATGTAACCTGGAGACCAGGTGTTTCTGGAAGTGGCTGTAATATAGCTAGAATTTGATGACCTTATAGGGTGGGGCCTCAAGCTTTGGGGGGCCTACCTAGAATCTGCTGGTCTCTTATGTGAGCCTTGGACAGGCAGATATCCAGGTTCAAATCCCCACTCAGCTATGAATTTCACTTGATGGGGCTTTGGGCAAGTTTGTTGTCCCCATTTCAGAGTTGTTGAGGATAATATATACCAGCCCCTCTGCCTAGAACAACCCTTAGCTCCTTGCCAGAAGGGTAAGATAAAAAAACGTAATAAAATGGCATCCTCCTAGTCACTAGCCTTTATGAAAACAATTGATGAACTTAAGTTGTGTAACTTTGGCACACTGAGCCGTGTACAGTGGCTGCTTCAACCACCAACCCCTCCAGGTTTTTATTATTATTCAGCTGTCATGAAATGCCGGATATTGCAAAATGGCCTCTTATTAAAACACAGATGTGTCAGCTGGCTGGGCTATTCAGCGTGTTTCATACAGGGGAAAGTTGCTTTTTTGCTCACTCCCCCCCCCCCTTTTACATGCTAGTGATGGGCTGTTGGCAGACCCGCCAGCTATCAGCTCTGCACCTGGACAAACATACAAATGGAAAGGTTAAACAGAAGCCGGAAGTTAGTTGGGAGGCAGAGAATAAAAGAGGAAAGAAAAGCTGCTATTGAGAAAGGGGACGTGATGAATGGTTTAAGTAGCAGGCACAGTGAAGAGCTGAGGCCCGCTCCTAATTAATGGAGGAGGGCCTGGCCGCCAAGCTGAGCGTTTGCTCTAGTGCCTTGGAACATTTTCCTACAGAATTCGGAGGGCAGTGGTTGTGCTTGTGTCAGCCAGGAGGAAGTTCTCTCACTCTCTGGCACGTGGCTTTGAAAACGTGCCTCTCCTTGGATGCACTCTTGACTTGAGTGCTCTTTCTGGATGCCTGCACTTGGTTCAAATTCCACCTCTCTACTTCATTCCCCTAAATCATGGGGTGGAAGGTGCTGCATGACGTAACTAGGCAGTGGGGGTGCAGTTTATAATCTCACGGGAGAAAGGGAGGCAGCTTCAACTCTCCCCTTCATGGCACAAAACCTCTCTAGAGGTAGCCCAAACTTGTGTAAGACCAGGGCTAAGGCCCAGTCCAAACCAAATAGCTCATCACATGGGAACATCCTTCTCTGCAGTGTGCTAGTTCAGACTGCGGTCAGTTTGTCGCATGACTGATTGCATACGTTTGCCTAGAAGGCCTGTTCCAGTTGCCACTGGGCCACAAATGTCTGGTTCAGGGTGGATATTACCGGGTTAGAAGGGGCTGGCTGTTTGTGTTGTCTGCATTTGTCCCTCATCAGCCCTGGTAAACTCTCTTTGCAGGTTTTTCTGATTTTCAAAGCTGTTCAACTTGTAGTGACAAGTGAGGCAAAAGAAATGTACCTACAGAACCACAGGAAGCACATCCTCTCTCATACTGCTCCCACCTCTTAAAAGAGTTGTATTCAGCGTTAGTCCTGCTCAAAGTCAACCCCGTGAGTTGTATCCAGCCTAATTATACTCCAAGTAGACCAACTGAAATGATTAAACCCAAGATGGAAATGCCCATTAATTTGAGTGTATCTACTTGTGAGTGGGACTCACTCTGGATCTATGCCGTTGAAATTAATGAACATCATAAACTTAGATTCATTGATTTCAGTATATCTACTCTGTCTTTGACTTAGTTAAATGCAACACCACTCTGTATCTTCAGCCTAAGTTATGTCTGACCGTTGCAAACATTTTTTTGTGGGCAAGTAACTTTTCATGGGCTGAATTTGCAAGGTTGTCATTCTCAGAGTAATGGACTCTTTCACTCCTCAGATAGCTTTGGCTGGAGAGGGAAGCACCAATTTCATAGCCACACTGACTTCATACTTCTAGACCAAGCAATTAAGTTGTAGAAATAGCTGCTTTCTTTTCTTTACTGAGTTGTGCAGCTTTGGTCCGTCCGGCCCCCCCCCCCCCCGTTTTTTTCTCATGAGTTGCATTTATAAGGGAACGTTCTTGATTTGAGACCTTTCAAGGGGGTCCGTAGCAGCTTGTTTGCAGTTTAACAGCAAAAACATTAGGACGATGTTTTAATATTGCTTCTTGTGCAACGCCACTGCAATCAGAAGACACGCAGGTTGAGAGTTGCCTTGTTGAGAAGGCACTTTGAAAGCGGCAAGAAGAGCTGGCTCTTCCAAAAAAGAGAAACGGCGGGTAATTTGGAGAAAGAGGCAGACAGAAGTTGCCTCTGGAACTTGTTCGCCTGCCAGTGCAATGTAGCTGTGGGTTGCACTGTAATTCTAGGGCTGGACTGTTTCCTGAAGGCCTGCAACAGGAACCTTTATTTGATCAAAAGTTTCTTGGCTGTTTCCTAGATCATTAGGAGAAGGGCCATGGCACAGTGGTAGAGCATCTGCCTTGCATGCAAAAGGTCTCCAGGTCCAGTCCCTGGCATCCCCAGGTAGAGCTGGGCAAAGTCTGAGGCCCTGGAAAGTGGCAACCATCCATCCTCATTTATTTTTATGCCACCTTTCCATAGGAAATTTTGCTTGAGGCATCTCAGAACATTGGGGGGAGGGGAATGACATAATTCACTAAGTTACAAAATGTTAACAAAAGTTAAGCAATAAATTAATGGAAATATTAAGATCTATTCAATAAAATTAAACAAGCCTCATGATTCATAATAAGGTATAACAGAAAAATGGGGGGGGGGGACAGCAAAAACAATGCGCTACAAACACTACCCCATCCCAATTCGTCTCTAGGCGTCATCAGCAGCATGTTTTTTTCTGGACTGTCACCAAGGTTGTCCCCAGTGCCTTCCACAGCTGCTTTTTAAGCTGGAATCAGTCAGGGCTCTGCCCTCCCAGGCCAGATGGAAGCAGGGCAGCAAAGTAGGGAGCAGCCTTTCAAAATTTGAAGGTGAGATCTGACAATAGTCAGATCAGACAACACTGAACCAGATAGATCGGTGGTCCTGTGTTTCCTGGAGTGGCACGTTCACAGCGTGATATATGGGGAGGCTTTTCAGTTCTTTGGAAGAATCTGGGCCACCCCAAAGTCTGAATGAATCAGGCCTGGGGAATCCATGTCCCTCTAGAAGTTGCTGGACTCCCATCAACCCCAACCAGCATGACCAGTAGTGAAGGGTGATGGTAGTCCAGCAACAACTAGAGGACACCAGGGTCCCTACTCGTGCTTTAAATTGACCCAGCAGCTCTTAAAATTAGTTCCCATGTAGCTTGTAAATTCTATCTAAGAGGTTGTTGTTGTTTTTTCAACCTAGAGGGGAGCCACTTGAACAGGTTGTGGTTAAGAGCATGTGCTGGGAAGAGATTTGGTGGAGCATAGTGGGCCAGAGACTTAATAGGAGGTTCCTGGAGTCTCTATTTCGTGGTGCAAAAGTGGGGCTAATAATACCAGCCTACTGTACAGGTTTGTTGTAAAGGCTACCACAACATAATTTACATGAGGCAGTTTATAAGTTGCCCTGAGACGTGTTTTTTTCTTTTGTAAAGCAACTAACAAATGTATCAAATAATAGTATACATTCAAAAGCTCTACATAAATGCAGAGTATTGTTCAGTCCTATGAGTGATGAGCATCCTGGTCCAGACTTCAGGGTGGCCATGAACAACCCATGTGTTCTTAAGCAAGGTTCACTCAGCCTTGCTACATTCCCAAAACATTTAATATATTTTTTATTGATTGGTTTATATAACTAGGTTATATAGGTTGGCAGGAGCTGGGACCGAGCAACAGGAGCTCACCCCGTCGTGGGGATTCGAACCACCGACCTTTTGATTGGCAAGTCCAAGGCTCAGTGGTTTAGACCACAGTGCCACCCGCGTCCCTACCTAGCAGTTCGAAAGCACGCCAAAAGTGCAAGTAGATTAATAGGTACTGCTCCGGTGGGAAGGTAAACGGCGTTTCCATGTGCTGCTCTGGTGTCGGTGTTCCATTGCTCCAGAAGCGGCTTAGTCATGCTGGCCACATGACCCAGAAAAACTGTCTGCGGAGCGGACAAACACCGGCTCCCTCGGCCTGTAAAGCGAGATGAGCGCCGCAACCCCAGAGTCATTCACGATGACTTAACTGTCAGGGGTCCCTTTACCTTTACCTTTACCTTATATAACTAGGTTAATAAGCTCAGGCCATCTTGCTTGATGTTCCCTCTGGCTTCTCTCATTCAGGCCTGCACACCAGCTCTGTATCTCCTTAGCTTCTTCCTTGTTATAGGTTTAGATGCTATCTTATAGTGTGTGCAAACAGTTACTTCAAAACAGTGATGTTAGCAGGAATAATTTTAATTCTGTTGAGTAGCATCAGGGCATACTCATTGGGAAAAAGGAAGAGAGGAGAAATCCAGTGTTCTTGAACCACCATCTCCACCACCAGTGTTGTTACTGCTTTTGCTATATGTAAATGTTGAATGTAGACGTTGTCCTCCTCAGCTCTTTGTATAGAACTGTTTCCTGCTCTGGAGTTCCCCATATTTAAAATGGATGGGATTGAAGGGGCTGGGGTTGCTGGGGGAGGGGGAAGGACAAATCTCGGCCACCCCTCTGATTTCAGACCAGCTGTGAGGGAATAGTCATTGCAGTCAACAGTGCATAAACATGAACACAACTGTGAAGAAGAGTTTTGATAGCTAATTGTTCTTCAATTTTTACAGTATTTACATAATTCTGGGTTGTTGGGGTTTGTTTGTTTTTTGTAGTTATGGGTTAGGTGTGGGTTAGAAGCAAGGAGCTAGTTTGGGTAATTGAAGTCCTGCCCAATGTGTTGCTCCACTTTCCTTTGGACCACATCAGTGAGGCCGAGAGGGGGTCTTGTCATCTGGGCAGGCCAGGACCTGCAGGCACACTGCCCAGGCTTGCACCCCGGGGAGGTCACTTTGGTGCTGCTAATGAAGTGGTTTGACTTCACCCCCGGAGGCACACTCCATTGTCTCTCAAGACAGACAGATGCCAACAACAAATCCTCTAGCTTCTGAAGTTTCACCAGATGCTAGCTCCACACTTTCAAAGATATTTTCACCTCCATAGGGACAAGCAACTTGCGTTTGCTTTTCAAGATAAAACCAAGAACCGTGGAAGCATCATTCAGAGCCCAGTACCCCATTCCACCCCCGTTCTTCCCTCTCACAGAATCTTGGCACACAAGAAGCCCTGGGTGTCATCACTCAGTTTGATGTCTAGAAGGAAATTGATGGTTCTGTTTTCAAATGTTTACAGTGGTACCTCGGGTTACATACGCTTCAGGTTACAGACTCCGCTAACCCAGAAATATTACCTCGGGTTAAGAACTTTGCTTCAGGATGAGAACAGAAATCGTACAGCAGTGGTGCAGCAGCAGCAGGAGGCCCCATTAGCTAAAGTGGTCTTCAGGTTAAGAACAGTTTCAGCTTAAGAACGGACCTCCAGAACGAATTAAGTTCTTAACCCAAGGTACCACTGTATATATTTTATATGTTTAGTTGTTGTTAGCCTTGGATTGCCTTTGTGTTGGAAAAGTGAGGGTTGGGGAGAATAAGGAAAAGGCTTGAGTGAAGAAAGTGAGGTGAGGACCTCTTGGTAGTTGGGCCTTGCAGTCCTTCACAGATCGAGGTTTTGCACTTCTGTGCTGTTGCACAAGGTCAGCTAATCCCAGTGACCCTTGGGAGGAGAAGTTATCTGTGAAATGCTCCATCAGACACTCTGTTTTCCAAGCAAGCTAAAAAAGGGCATTTCTGTGCAAGTTTGTAGTTAACGCAAGCCTCCAGAGCTCTCTGGGTACACTTGTTCAGAACACAGGCAGAGGGCTGTAGCTGCCGTGAAGCCTCCTCTCTTGAGTTTGCTGACTTCACATCCTCCTCCTCTGAGGCGTTGCCCTTACACGCTTAGGCCAAGCCCCTGGCTTGTTCTCAAGCCAACCCTTGTGCAGCTGCGTCATGGATCTGTACGGAAAACAATAAACATCTGTTCTGACTGAAATGTGTTGTGCAGGTCAGTGAACAAACATAAGCAGCCTAGGAAAGAGCTGCTCCTTATTTTTGCTAAACATATCCTACAAGAACTCACCATGGGACTTAGCTCTCGACAGTTTCTCCTCCCTACTGCAAGTCATGTTCCTTTATATTCTGGCTGGATTTCCTCACCGCAGGACATAGAAAAGAAAAGGTTCTGCAAATTCTTTGACATAATACCTTGTGTCCAAACACAGTACAGTGGTACCTCGGGTTAAGTACTTAATTCGTTCTGGAGGTCTGTTCTTAACCTGAAACTGTTCTTAACCTGAAGCACCACTTTAGCTAATGGGGCCTCCTGCTGCCGCCACGCCGCCGGAGCACAATTTCTGTTCTCATCCTGAAGCAAAGTTCTTAACCTGAAGCACTATTTCTGGGTTAGCAGAGTCTGTAACCTGAAGCGTATGTAACCTGAAGTGTATGTAACCCGAGGTACCACTGTACAGGAATAAGGCAATACCAGACCTTGAGGAGTTGTCAAGAGTTTCTGATGAAGTATATGCAAATGGTTACCAGGTGAGGTCGGGTGAGGGAGCAGGTTCCCCTTAAATTCAGCAGCATCCTGTCCCATCCAACTGAATTGCTAAAGAATTTGGGGCTAGCAAAACACTCTCAACCATTGTCCACTCTTTAACTGAGGACAGAAAGTATTTTTGTTTAGGCATAGCTCAGTTGGAGTGTGGTGCCAATAATGACAAGGTTGCAGGTTCAATCACTAGGTGATCCTCAGGGTCCTTTCCAACTCCGTGATTCCCTGTGTTTTAATCTGTTGTTAGCTTATTGCGGGTTGTTGTATTTTAGTGTTCTAAATAGTTGCTTTTAACTGTTTTTGCTCATAACATTATTGTACAGTGGTGCCTCGCAAGACGAAAAGAATCCGTTCTGGGAGTCTCTTCGTCTAGCGGTTTTTTCGTCTTGCGAAGCAAGCCCATTGATGGGATTAGCGGATTAGCGCTATTAGCGCTATTAGCGGCTTTTAGCAGCTTATCAGCTTATCGGATAAGCAGATAAGCGGCTTAGCGACTTAGAAAAGAGGGGAAAAGGAAAAAAACCCAGGAACTCGTAAGACATTTTCGTCTTGCGAAGCAAGCCCATAGCAGATTCGTTTTGCGAGGCACCTCCAAAACGGAAAACTCTTTCGTCTAGCGAGTTTTCCGTCTTGCGAGGCATTCGTCTTGCGGGGCACCACTGTATTATTCTTTTAGTAAACTGCTTTGAGGTGTTTTACAGTCAAGCGGTATATAAATCTTGTGAAATAAATAAGATGCATGGGTCTGGGTGAGAGGCAGCTACTTCCTGATTTCTTGAATCCAGGCAATTTTTGCTAATGTTGCCCTGAAGGAGCAAGGTGAGAGAGGTGGTGTGAGTGTGGATGCTAATGCAATCTGGACACCAATGTACCAGCACCTCAGGACTGTGGGTGTGTCTTTTGCAAAGCACATATCTCAGT